AAAACTCAACCAACTCCGCAATCCTATGCCGATAAATAAATACGAACTACTAGTTGTTAATAAGTAGTAAACAATGACAAACAAAAAGAATCAAGTTTGAAAGTGTGTATATTATAAACAGTTTACTAGAACAATAATTAATCTGTTACCATAAAATTTATACCCGTCTTTAATTTATATCTAAATTTATAGGTTTATGCATCAGAAACACCACAATGTACAATTGGTAAACGAAATGCTATTAATCTGGTTATACGTAGACTTACATTGGCTATTCCAAAACCAGATGATAATGTTTATACTAAAGAGATCATTCGACCATTTCATTTCCATTTAGGTCAATTGCATATTACAGCAATATTACCAAAAGATGTATATTATCATGGTGAATCAATACCATTGAAATTGTTAATTGATAATGAATCTAGTAATATTGTGCGTCGATTAAATATACAAGTTAGTAGTAGTTACCATTGTTAAGTAATTAATTCAGGGTTTTTTTTCTCCTTGATTTTGATTCATTCAATGAACATGTTACAATACATGAAAATCTGATTAAATTATTCTATATACTGAAATGTTACCAATAAATGAAACAGAATATTTGGTACTATTCCATTAGGTTAAATCAAGTTGATGTCATGTGATTCCAGTCTATTTACAATTGATTGATCATTGGACGGTGATCAATGTCATATGTGTCAAGTCTTTCTTAATGCAGATCGAATCCTATCGATCAAGTTCCAATATGGTCACTAGTCTAGGTGACTCGAAATTTTAAATACATCGCAGTCCTACAGGAAGTCAGCTGCGTTCCGGATAGCACAGTGATAATGTTTCTGACTGTGAAGCAGGAAGTGCCATTTCCTTAAGATTACATGTACATCTTACTGACGAGTGTAGCTTAGATGTTCTTTGGTACGAGCCATGAATTCTTGTAAAAACTTCAGTATTGGATGTATCAGAGTTAACACAATCTATTTTCCAGACACAGTTCAATTTAGAGACGGTAAGGATCTGCTTTTGTTGAAACTGAGGTAGTCTTTCGAAAAGGATGTGTGGGAACATTTGAAATTAACAATCTCTTGATTACTGTCAATAGAAATGAATGGGTAAATTCAAAATTTATTCGTTGATCAGGGTAGAGAGAGATCTATTAAAGCTTTTAGATTTGTACGTCAGTTGAATTCTTTTAATATTCGTGAAGTATATGAGGGGATATCTGGAAACACGTTACAAACTGGATTGTAATCGACAAATTGTTGTGTATTCTTTGTTAGCATAAACCCCACGTCGCCAATTTGTTGTGACTTTTAGGCCCGGTTAATTATCATGTCACTTATTTGATAATCGGAATGCGACTTATACAATCTTAGCACTGTGCCAAGCCAATGAAGTATCGACTGGTATGAGCAGCCTTGTGTTATTATTGGTCCTTTGTCCTCTTAGCCCTCCCTATCAAGTCCAGAACAACAATACCAGCTTCCACTATGCGAATCATTTATCTCAAATATACCTGGTTTATATAGAGGCTAAACTGATAACATCACATCCAAACATTTTGTCTAAAACAGTGGTTCCTTAATGTAGTTACAACTATTCAGTGTATTGCTTAAACTTAAATCTATGGGCACTTTTCAAGCATATTATTTAACGAATCATAGTAAACTCCAGTGTAATCTTTGAAATACTTAAAATCACCATTTGTCAGTTCTCCAACGATACTTAAATGTCTCGTGTTTATAACTAAAGAAATTGATTGGAAGCATAAATTTCAACCATCTCTACAACTCCAGACTGAAAGCAATTTGAAGCTAGAACAAAACAGTTACATCGTGTTCCTTGATATTATTAAGGTGTCTATTTCAGATTGACACGTTCAGTGAAAGGAAGAAATAAGCAAAATGATAATTTCTTAAAGGAATTGTGTACCAGAAGGAGACGATACAATTCAACTGATGATATCAATCTAATCATCTTCATACAGTAAATAATAATTCAAGAGTAACTTCAACATATTATAAATGTAAATTGCATTCTGGTGTTTTTAATAATTTAGGTCATACAAGATGTTCAGATCACACTATTCAAACGGCGTACGATGCGTTGCATTGTTGTTGATATGGAAACAGAAGAAGGTTTTCCCATTAATTCACACACTACAGGTTGGAATGAAACCATTCAATTACGACCATCATTACAAGAGATTAGAGGACAAGCGGTTGTTGCTTTAGATGGTAAACTGAAACATCAAGACACAAATCTTGCTAGTTCTACCTTAATAAAAGATTATAGAAAGAAAGAAAATATGGGAATTATTGTTCATTATATGGTACGTTATCGTTTAATTGTTTCTTTGGAGAGACTATAATTTATGAACGAACTAATCATTATAGCTGATGGCAGTTTGTGATGAAAACGCCAAATTTAATTCCTAACCTTAACGATCAACTGTAAATCATAATGCGAATTCCTCATACTAATTTATAACCATTATTTTGCCCTAGTTATTAGGTGGACACTATCAAGGTCAGTCTAGTGTGGCTCAAACGAACAACGGATTCATGGAAGCAGTTAGCCCAATAATGGTAATATATAAAAGAAAGATTTCATATAAGGATATAATGCAGAGAAGAAAGAATTAGTTGATAGGAAGAAAGATATGAAGCAATTTTAACCTCTTAGTTTAAGGGAAGACAAAGAGTGTATACACCTACGCCATTGTGATCGATTCTGAGCCATGTCAACCAGAGTCTCCAATCATTGGGTACGATAGTCACGCGGACCCCAACCAAGTAGTCTGCATCTACCAACATGGCTCAGACTAGAAGTTGGTGACTTCAAGCACTGGTGCCACGTTTTCAGTTGGCCGCCCCTACCTTTCTTCCAGCCATCCCCAACACTAGTCAGAACTGTGTGTCATGGTAATCGATGTCCAGGCATATGTAACACGTTGCCCAACCATCTCAGTCGATGAAGATTCTACTTCATCAAATCTATTCGATACTATAAATGATTAATGTGTGGTAAAAATAACTTCCTGAAATCTAACCATTACTCTCACAGCTAAACTTTACATTCAGTGAAAGCCTTTTATATACATATTTCTATTCCATATTACTATTATATATATTTTTATTCTGATTAATTACATATGAATAATTAGATAAGAATTAAAGCTGTAACTGGTTTTGGTGGACGGGATGTACAAATGGAAATACCAATTATCTTATGTCATGCACGTCAACAACAAGAGATTATCAAAGCTGAAGAAGCAGATGATTTAATGATTGAAGAATTTAAACGACCAGCAGCAAAACAACGTCAAACAACTGAGGAGCTGGAGAAAATGGATAGTTACTAAGTAATACGTTGGTAATATTCAAAAAATTTCGGCAACGAAAAATAAATTATGATTGTCAAAATATTATTTGACTCATTACTTCACAAATACGACTGTCATAATGTAACTGTATTAATTCATATACACATTGTTTTCTTTGGTTTATTGTTGACTCCCACGAAAAAGCACTACTAATCACTGTGATCTTAGAGTTATGAACAGAAATATAGATTTCATATTCAAATGAGTAGTACATTGAATTTCTACGACCTTTCATAGATCATTCTTTTTTCTTTTTATAGAATAAATGATCTATTTCAAATGTCCTGATATGGCCGAGAGTGGAGAGCCAGCTCTCTCCTTCTTGAAATGCTCTCACATGGTCACGCGTATAGTCACCGACAGGGAACACCTACTCACTGCCTTATCGTACCAGGGGTGTTGTTTACGAAATTAAGAGGACGAAAAGCGAACGTCTGGCACACTAACTAGGTTGGTGGATACGCAGGATACACCTAGGGTTGTTGGAAAACGCTGATTCTAAACCAATGCTTCATATCGGCTGCATGGTTTTGAGAGAAAAAATGGTGTATGTACGTGATTTTGTTCACTAGCTACCATTAGACTGCTTCTCTTTACGTTGCTCCACTACCTTGTGGATCAGACCTTTGGGTCGAAAGCTCCAGATGTAGCATCCTAAGAAAATCACGTACTTTGGTTTGGGCACTCGGGCAGTATCATGGCCGATACACAAACCAAGTGACTTGTGTGGTGCATATGTATCCCATGCGCCTTTTTACCAATATTTATGTGTCTGAATAAACAAAATAAATTTCAAATTGAAATAAGTTTAAACAGTATGAAGTAATAAATATTCCGACAGCACAGTGTAGGGATAAGCTATAAACAGCTGCAACGATTTTTCAACCTGTTCTTAGCCAAGCAGATAAACCAGTTTTATATGAATTATTTATAGACTTACTTCATTACTTATGCCCATTACTCCTCGTGAAGGAGCATAGGCCGCCCACCACCACTCTCCATCTAACCTTGTCCTGGGCAATCATTTCCAGTTGTTATTCATCCTTTGCATATCTGCTTCTAATTCCCGATGTAATATGTTCTTTGGCCTTCCTCTTTTTCGCCTCCCTTCCTATCCATTTCCATCGTGTTTTCCTAATTTTCTCTTCAGTTGGAATCTCGTTTGTTCTCTACCACAAAAGGCTGTTACTGATAGTGTCCGGCCAATGGATGTTGAGTATCTTGTGTAGACCATTATTTATAAATATTGTACCTTCTTGATGATGGTTGTAGTAGTTCTCCAAGTTTCAGCTCCATACAGTAGGACTGTCTTGATGTTGGTATTGAAGATCCTGACTTTGATATTGGCTGAAAGTTGTTTTGAGTTCCGCATGTTCTTCAATAGTAGGGATGCTACCGTTGTTTTGGCAACACTCTCCTTTATATATGCATTTGATCCTCCTTGTTCATCGATGATGTTTCCCATGTACGTGAAGGATTCTACATCTTCCAGAGTTTCGCCATCAAGTGTAATTGGATTGGTATTCTCCGTGTTGTATTTGAGGACCATGATTTTCCCCTCGAATATATTGAGGCCTTCTGGTGCAGAGGGTGCTGCTACACTAGTTGTCTTCATCTAATTGTCTCTAGAGGAGAGAAATAATAAATATTATGAAATGTAGACAGAATTCATTTATACAACGAATATACTAAATCTCACTTTGTCAATGAATTGAGGAAATAACAAGACATAAGTTCTTCCTTATAGATTTTCGGTCTTCTGTGTGTGGGTTTAACAACACCGTAAAATGTATGTTTTACAATAAAAATAATCTCATCTTGTTTTATTGAATGAAATGAATAGATTTAAAAAGAAATTTATTAGTGATTATTTCCTACAGAGTGACATAAACAGAAATAATTCTTACAATTTCTCGCTTTCCTGCTAATCACCCAACACTAGTCATGAGCTTTCAAATGTTGTCACGAACATCGAAAGTGAGTTTTCGATTACATTATGTCTAGAAGCTTTTCAACCTCTTAACGACTTAAAGGACGCTGTTAAAGAATACTAAATGCTAAGTTATTGTCGCTTGACGGTTTGTGATTCACATTCCATAGACAATCTAAAATCGTACGTTAAATTCCTACGTTGGATAATTGATGAGCACAATTTACATATACTGTAAAGATTAAGTTCCATTTCTACTTGATCAAATGAGAAAATGAACTCCATTTTTCATTTTAGTATTTATTAATGATCAGTGGTGTCATAAGGCGACGAGTGTAGCAACAGCCTCAGCAGCAGTAGGTCTCAATATACACAAAGGGAAAAGAAAGATTCTCCGATACAACACACCTTGCACCAATCCAGTCACAAGTGACGGACAAGATTTCGAAGATGTGAAAACCTTTACATATTTGGGCAGCATCATTGATGAATATGGTGGATCTGATGCAGATGTGAAAGCGCCGATCGGTAAAGCAAGAGTAGCATATTTACAGCTGAAGAAAACCTAGAACTCAAAGCAACTGTCAACTAACACCAAAGTCAGAATTTTCAATACAAATGTCAAGACGGTTCTACTGTATGGAGCAGAAACCTGGAGAACTACGAAAGCCATCATCCAGAAGGTACAAGTGTTTATTAACAGCTGTCTACGCAAAATACTTCGGATCCGTTGGCCAGACACTATCAGTAAAAACCTACTATGGGAGAGAACAAACCAGATCCCAGTGGAGCAAGAAATTAGGAAGAAGCGCTGGAAGTGGATAGGACACACATTGAGGAAAGCACCGAACTGCGTCACAAGACAAGCCCTCACATAGAATCCTCAAGGCCAAAGAAGAAGTGGGAGACCAAAGAACACATTACGCCGGGAAATGGAGATAGACATGAGAAAAGTGAACAAGAATTGGATGGAACTAGAAAAGAAGGTCCAGGACAGAGTGGGTTGGAGAATGTTGGTCGGCGGCCTATGCTCCATTGGGAGTAACAGGCGAAAGTAAGTAAGTGTCATAAGGCAATCATACAGAACTGGTTTAGTTTCCTTTTTCAGTTAAAATCTAATGCCAACAGATGAGACAACGATTTACAATTAAGTATTTTAGGGTCAGGATTTGCCCGTTACAATAATCTAGAGATGTCTCAATTTGACAGATATAAGTAGTATGTATCATCAATCGAATGTGAAATGCCCGAAGGTAGAAAGTTAAAAAGATCGAATAGAAGAGAATGAGAACAGAGAAAATGATTGGTGTGGAATTGAAAAAAAAAGAAGTCTGAGATGATTGAGTGATATTGGCAAACGGAACAGTCAAGAGTGAGACAATCGATTGACGTTTTGCAGATACTATGGTATTTCTACTGTTCATTATGTTTGTTATTTTGATTTTGCGCAAACATCTAAAAGTCGTTTTCTTTATTTAATACTCTGATTGACCCATACATACACCATACTTTTATTACAAATCTTATCAAATATTTAGTACATGCAAACAAGTCAGATCATGTTAATGGTTTGTCATTCAGATCAAAGGTGATCCGATATGAGACACGTTTTCTTTTGTTCTTATGTATTTGTATATGCTAGAAAATGTGATATTTTTATTTTTTTTTCTTAAATATGGACGAGTAATGCAATTTGTAATGATTTTAGAAACTTCTAATAGTTGAATTCATAAGTCAATTGAAGCTAGACTACCATAGAAAACCTGAAAGCACTGAACGACTATGATTATTAGAAGTATTTGAATTATAGTACAAACTAGGAATACCGGAAATAACGCAATCGGATCAAATGTCCCACTTCGCCTTAGATTCATCGTGTCTTTCCGACTGTGTATTGGATGTAAACTCTGTATAATCTAGAATATGCTCATTAATATTAGAATTAACTAACGAAATTGGAACGAACTCACCTGGGTCCTGGAATTGTATACAATCACCATGTCGGTTGTGTACTCATACCACTGATATCTAGAATTTGAACCACAGATATTCCAACACTATCCTCCCCCACGAAATAATGTTAGATATTCATATCCCCAAGTTATAAATGATGTGGCTTCATTTGAAATATATTTCTTACACTGACTAAAGTATTCATTAGAAATGACTTCATGATAAGGAGAAACAAGAGTGGATATGAAATCATACGAATTGTAATCAAGATCAAGTACATTTAGTATTTGTGCGTCGCATTAAATAAGTTTCCCAGGAGATACAGATGAATGATCGGGAAAAATAATATTTAATATGACATCAGGATTCGATTCTTCGGAATTATTTTTCTCAAATTTATTAAAAATGCCATTGGAGAGTAATAGATCATTAGAAAAATCAGCATCTATCAAAACTGCATCAGATTTTCGATCATGACTGGATTCATTCAACATATTTTCCTCAGATTTATAAGAAATTTCATCAGAAATATGTGAATCATTGGAGCAAACCATAATTAGTACAATAACATAAGAAATCTGATAAGAAGTTAATTGATTAGAAACTTTTATCTCACCATGATCCTGAGTTTCATTTAACTATGGATTGCTATGTGACTCTATATCGCTTTTTGGAGTCGTGGATAAAGATAGTGCCGATGGACAGAAAAGGACACCTCATCAAGATTCCAGAGAAAGGAGACCTGAGCAAATGTGAAAACTACAGAGGAATCACACTACTGTCAGTACTAGGAAAAGTATTTAACAGAGTTTTGCTGAACCGGATGAAAGATGCAGTAGACGCCCAACTTCGAGATCAACAAGCTGTATTCAGTAAGGATCGGTCGTGCACAGACCAAATCGCAACACTACGGATCATAGTCGAACAATCAGTTGAGTGGAACTCGTCACTATACATCAACTTCATTGATTATGAAAAGGCATTTGACAGTGTAGATAGGAGAACATTATGGAAACTTCTTCGACACTATGGAGTTCCTGAGAAGATTGTCAACATTATCCGAACTCATACGACGGACTACAGTGCAAGGTCGTGCATGGAGTACAGCTGGCAGATGCATTCCAAGTAAAGACCGGAGTCAGACAAGGCTGTCTACTCTCTCCCTTCCTCTTTCTTCTGGTGGTCGACTGGATTATGAAAACCTCCAGATCTGAGAGGAAACACGGAATACAATGGACAGCTCAAAACCAAATAGACGACTTGGACTTCGCAGATGACCTGGCCCTCCTATCGCACACACACGAGCAAATGCAGATAAAGACAGCCAGTGTAGCAGCAGTCTCTGCATCAGTAGGCCTCAACATACACAAGTGGAAAACCGAGGTCCTCAAATTCAAAACGAAGAACAGCAATCCAATCACTCTTGATGGCGAAACTCTCGAAGATGTAGAATCCTTCGCATACCTGGGAAGCATAATTGATGAACAAGGAGGTTCAGATGCAGACGTAAAGGCGAGGATTGGCAAAGCAAGGACAGCATTCCTACAGTTGAAGAACATATGGAACTCAAAACAACTTTCAACAAATATCAAAGTGAGAATGTTCTATACGAATGTCAAGGCATTCCTACTGTACGGAGCTGAAACTTGGAGAACTACAACAACCACCATCAAGAAGGTACAAGTATTTGTAAATAGTTGTCTACGCGAGATACTCAATATCTGTTGGCCGGATATCATCAGCAAAAGCCTACTGTGGGAGAGGACAAACCAGCTTCCAGCTGAAGACGTTGGAAGCCGATAGGACAGACATTGAGAAAATCATCAAACTACATCTCGAGGCAGGCCCTAACCTGGAATTCTGAAGGGAAGCGGAAAAGAGGAAGACCGAAAAACACATTAAGTCGGGAAATGGAATCAGAAGTGAAAAGGACTAATAGCAATGGAAAGGATTGTCCAGGACACGGTTGGATAATGCTGGTAGGCGACCTATGCTCCTCCACGAGGAGTAACAGGCGTAAATAAGTAGGTTTAAAAAGTACAAAGGAAACAACTATTGTTCCCTGAAGGAGCTTACATCAAGTCAAGAAACGTGAGGATTACAACTTTTTACTCATTGAGATTATGAAGGGAATTGTTGACGAATAGAAGTAGTTATTCGAGAAAAACCCATGTTTAGAATATTATTTCCACTAGTTGCACATGTTGACTACAAAATGCAACTGCGTCTGTTATAACACCTTAACTACTCCCTTATCGAGTTTAGGTTTACTTAACGCTTTCTGAAGCGTATTTTGTGGACGCGTGCAATGTTGCCTTAATAACCAAACTGATGTGGATAAGGCAACATTCGAATTCACAAACTACAAGCCGAATACTTTCACCGAGTATTAATTATTCTCGAATTACTTAACTGAAATAACTTCGAACTATTAATTCATAAAGCAGATGCGTTTACAACCAATGGATTGAACAAAATGACATGTTTTCTACAGTAACAGTTGTAGATAGATGTTTTTAGGGGAGAAGTTGTGTTGCAGCCTCTATTTCTTAATACACCTATGCTATTTATTCTAATGTTTGAAGAGATAATATTGCTTTCCAGTCATTTGTGTTACCTTGAGCATGTGTTTATCCAAATACTTGGATAAATCTCCCATGACTATAAATACCAAGTTGTGTTTTCATTAAATTGAAGGGGCCTGCTTGCCTTCTCTGATCCGCTTATATATATATATATGTTTTCATTACAGGATGTGTGCATTATAGGCATTCAAAATCATTCTCGTATTTGACTTGTTTTGTTCCAATGTTCACTAACACAGATTAAGTTGATAAATATGTACGAAGTTAGGCAAGATACATATTAAGTTAACATCATCATCCGATCGTAATAAAGTCAGACAACCACCGGCACCAAAATCAACACTTTAAAACAACTACCATCGAAGCACATTCTGAACAGACAAGATACCAAACTAAAAAAAAACAAGAAATGGATTCTGAAATGACGAAGATTTGTAACTCAAGTGAACTGCGGGTTGGTTAATTTAGTTGTTGACGTCTTATAATCATTTTGAACATCATATTACATGCTTAAGACTACAGTAACATGTACCGTCTGGTAAGGTATCATGGGACTCACTCCACGAATGGGTAATTTACAATAATAAACTAAAGGTCTATACACAATCACGCTTTTTGAGCTTGAGTCATCGTCAGCTGGTGCAAGAATGAACAATTCGCTCTTCTTTGACTTCTCAATCATTGATTGATTAAGCTAAGAATCGTTGAGAGAATATCACAAGTCCAGCTGATTAGCACTTCATATTGAGTTCATGTTTTCGTTCAAGTAGTTTGCTACGGGTCGTAACAACACCTAAATCACTACGACCTATCAATAAGTGATAACTTGAAATCGTAGTCGTGTTTCACTATTGTAATAATCCAATCAAGCTATACTGTCTAGGAAACATTTTCAAGTCTTACCATACTAAACAGATTGGTTGGAGAACATTAAGAGTAAAAGCAACAATCTATGATCTGAGGTTGAGTTCTTACCACTGACTATAGAGGGGTATGATGTTCCCTTACACATATAATATCTCTTAAAATGAAGAAGAGCTAGAAAGGATCCACATTTCTTTGCCGCACGAATTTCTATCATTAGCGGAAAGTTCTTGAAAGTACTGAGCTAGCACATTGTGAACTCATAAGTATTAATTTTCTTATTTTTCTTCACAAAACCCTTAAGAGGAAGAAGTATCATTTCATGATGTAGATGATAGAGAGCTCACAAAGGATTTCATAATTCTAACAGCTCTAAAAGAATCATAAATGACAACTGAATATCAAGAGAGAAAAAAACGTTTGAAAAGTACACTGATGGAACAATAATCATTCATAATATTTCTTTTTGACAAAAACAAACAAAACAAAAATAAATTTGAAATCACTATGACCAAAAATGAAAATAAATAACCAAATGAATCTATGTTGTTTTGTTAGACTTTATAAACAGAAAGAAAGAGAGAAGAAAACAACAACAGCAATAACATGAAATCAGTGAGAAGAATCTTATCATATGAGAAGCAGCATACATATATGTGGGGGGTAGGCAAAGTGTAAGCTGTACAAAAAAACAACTACCTATCACAGATGACAACTAAGAACGATGAATAGAAATAATAAAGAGGAAAACTTTATACAATTATAAAACTGTCCAAAAAAACAAGAAAAGGGGGGATCATATAACTTATTTATCATGTAATAATGTGTATCGGTTTATTTGTGTACAATTTTTCATTGTTGTTATGTGTATGTGCGTGCGTGTGTATATGACGTGAAAGGGTTTTACAATCCAATGATTAAATACAACATAAATATTTCAATTATTTAATTATCATCATTATGAAGAGATAATAAAGAGAAATTTGATTAATCCAATAACAACAATTAAGAAAAAAACAAACAAACAAACGAAAGAAAAAAACAGAATAAACTTTTTTAAAAGAAAATTAATAAACAAACAATAAAAAGAAAAAAGAATATTTATCATCATAAATTATATTCAGTCTCTTTTTCATACAATTTTATTGTTTACAATCAATATTGTACGTTCGTTTACAATTGATGATGGGGATGGGGATGAAGAAGTATTAGAGGATGTATCATGTATGATAGATGATGATGATGGTGGTGTACGATCAACATGTTCTTCTGTATCATTATTATTATTATTATTATTATTATTATTATTATTATTATTATTATTATTATTATTATTATTATTATTATTATTATTATTATTATTATTATTATTATTATTATTATTATTATTATATTATTTATTATTATATTATTATTATTATTATTATTATTATTATTATTATTATTATTATTATTATTATTATTATTATTATTATTATTATTATTATTATTATTATTATTATTATTATTATTATTATTATTATTATTATTATTATTATTATCAGAAAGATGAAGTGGGGGAGGAGGTGATGATAAATGGTCATTGCTTATTGTTGTATTTGTAGATTGTTTATCTAAATTATTTGATGAATTTGATGTCATAGCAGTAGTAGTAGTAGTATTAGTAGTAGTAGTAGTAGTAGTAGTAGTATCGGTTAAGTTACGATTTGTAAAAAACAATTCATTTGTAATTGATGATGATATTGTATTACCATTATTATTATTATTGTTATTATTACTATTACTATTATTAAATGGTGTTTTTGGTGATAAACTTAAATAATTAGTTGTAACTGTAGCAGATTTATTAGAAATAATACGTTTATCATTAAATTCATCCATACCTAAACGTTCATTGTTTGATGATCCAATTGTTACATTACCACGTGATACAATACCATTAATATTTGGTTCTGATGAACATTTATGTAATTTTGGTAATGAACGATATAATGAATCTAAACATGGATAAATCTATATAATGATATGATTGAAAGAAACAAAAGAAAAATAGGACCTCAGTAAATGAAACTGATTAGGAATAATCTAACAAATAGAATATTTACAGGTGAAAGGGAAATAATTCGATCGTTTACTAAATTTCTCTGATGAATGATTTAATCTAAAGTTGGTTGGATGATAAGCAAAGATGGATAGTGGTTAGGAGTGAAATCTAGTTTGACGAGCGTTTCGTCTTATGTGGGACTCATCAGTTGGATTTATCTGCATCCCAGAATTGGTTTTCACTCTGACTCGAACCCAGTACCGTTCGCTTTAAATGCTATCGCGTTATCCACTTAGCTACTGAATCCTGATACAAGTGAATTCGATCAGATTATATTTGAGAATAGTTTACATTAAGAATTGGACTAACTTCAGACAAACAATTTAACAAATACTATGAGGAGAATTATTAGAAGTGAGAATCCATGACTAGTTGTATTCAATCACGAAATAAGGCATTACTAACAGTAACTAATGGTATTTGTACAGTATTATGGGTTGATTAAAGATAGTGCTTTTGTTTGTTTTTTTATAAAAGTCAAAGATAACAGGTTTGATAAATGATATACAATGTGAGGACTGATAAGATTATAAGAACTTCAGAGAATTTCTGTAGGTATACTTTTAAATTAATTGACATAGATCCAATATATCAATTCATACAGGAAAGGTTAACCAGTCATATGGTTAGAGGTCAATCAAAGACAATATGGTCAGTAGGAGTGTAAAAACAAGTTAAGAAAACAAGACCACCAAGACGATGATGTTGCATAAAACGACAATGAAGACTTAATAATAATGCCATTCAATGGAAAAAAACACATAACACCAACAAGCTCTATAAACTTATCACTGTCAGAATATTACAGAATGTTTCTCTAAGTCTATTCAAAATACACTCGGAAAAACCGTACAGTTAATGGTTCATTGGTTAACAAATAAACACTCTTCTAGTGACACCTTAAATAACGTTAGATTAATGAGACTTTTTTCTTCTCATCGATATGTTGAGTGATAATATTTTATGGGGGAGTTTTATTCTCTGAGCTGGATGGTTTGGTCGTGGAGCTTTCATCATTCTTCTGAACGACATCATCAGCACAAACTTCAGATATAAGTGAAGTGTTTGAATTTCTCCATATGTGTCTCAAAGCTTGTTCTGTGCACCTCGACGTTGATTGGTTCTTATTGACCTTAAATTTGTCGTTGTTTACTTCTTTGTTTTGGTTGTGTCTCCCATTGTTTTGATTTTTGTTCTTATGTTTGTGCATGATTTTTCTGATTGGTTGATAAATTGGATTGATTTCAATATGCTTGTTGATTACTGATTGACCTGAGTGCCAGGCTTTTAAAAATTCTCTGATGTTTTTGGAGTTTCCTCTGTCTAAGATTTCCACATTTTTCCAATCGAATGAGTGTCCGCAGTTGTCCACGTGTATTGATATAAGTGAAGAGATATCATGCCGTTTGACTGCTAATTGATGTTCATGTAGGCGAAGGTGAAGGGGGCGTCCACTTTGTCCGATGTAGTGTTTTTCGCAGTTGGCACAATTTATCTTGTAGATGATGTTTGATTTGTTTTCCTTTGTTATTTCATCTTTTGGTTTGCATAAGATTGATTGTAGTGATTTTGTCGGTTTGTGTGCCACACCTATTCCGAAGGTTTTCAGTAGTCTCGTCGCGGTTTCTGATATTCCTTGTATATATGGTAGGGTGATCCTTTTGTTGATTTTTGTGCTTGACTTGAGTTCTAATGCTGCGTGCGGTTGGTATTTTTTTTGATGAAGTTGATGGGGTAGCCGTTCTTCTGAAATACATCCTTTAGGTATTTCTCTTCATTTCTTCGTGCTGCCAGTGTGTTGCAGTGTGTCCTCGCCCTCTTGAACAAATTGTGTACGCAGTTGATTTTGTGAGCTCTGGGGTTGTTGCTATTGTAGTTGAGAATTTGATCCGTATGTGTCGGTTTCCTATATACTTGAGTTTCCAGTTTTCCTGTGTCGGTTCTAGTGATCAATATATCCAAGAATGCTAGTTGGTTGTTTGATTCCTGTTCCATGGTGAACTTGATGTCATCGAAGACGTTGTTGATCAGGTTGTAAGTGTTTTCTAGTTCATTCTTTTTGACGATGACGAAGGTGTCGTCTACGTAGCGAATCCAAATTTTTGGTTTGATCACTAGTAATATAGCGGCTTCTAGTCTTTGCATCACTGCCTCTGCGATCAATCCTGATATTGGTGATCCCATTGGTGTCCCTTTCGTTTGTTCGTAGATTTTGTTGTTGAATTGAAAGTATGTTGTTAGGCATAAATTGATGAGTTCCTGTAGACTTTGAATTTGAAGCTTCGTGTATTTAGTGAGGTTTGTGTCGTTGTTGAGCAGCAGGGATATAGTTTCTTTTGCTAATTTTGGTTCAATTGAGGTGAATAGTGCTGTCACGTCGAAGGATATCATCAGTTCGTCGTTGTTGATTTGGATGTCCTTAATTTGGTCCAGGAATTGTGTAGGGGATTTGATTGAGTGGTTGGCTGAATCTACTAAATGTCTCAGTATTCTTGAAATTTCTTTTGACAAATTGTACGTTGGTGTTCCGGGGAGTGCTACAATTGGACGTAGTGGGATGTTTGGTTTGTGTATTTTGGGTCTACCGTAGAATCGAGGAAGTACTGGTCCGTTGGATTTCATTCTCCATTGTTCTTGTTTTGTTATTTCTCCTGCTTTGACTAGCTTGTTTAAGGTCTTTGAGATTTGGTTGTCTAATTTTTTGACGGGATTTGTGTCCATCAGTTTGTATGTGCTCTTATCTTCTAGTAGTTCTTCGGCTTTTTTGACGTATTCTTCTTTGTCCATGATTACTGTGGTGCGTCCCTTGTCCGCTGGTATTATGACAATATCCTTTCTATTTTTGAGTTATTTTAAGGCCTTTTGTTCTTGTGGAGTCAGTTGGTTGTTTTCCTTCGCACGTTGAGTTAGCGGTACTATAGTTTGCCTTATTTCTTGTTGTGTTTCTTCACTGATTCCCGAAGTTTTGAGTGATGACTCCAGTGCTGCGAAGAATTCCAGCTTTGAGGCGTCGCTTGTATTGTAGTTTAATCCTTTTTGGAGTAGGTGCTCTTCCGTATTTGTTAATGGTTGTTTTGACAAATTTATCACGCAGTTGTTTGTGTTTTCTTCCATGGGTGGTTTTGAGATCTTGATCAGTTTTTTCTTTAAGGCGTTCCTTCTTTGTTCTCTATGTCGTTTGCATGATATCTCGATGGCCGTTGTCAAGATTTCCAAGTGTTTCGACGTAAGTGTCCTGTGTAGCTTCATCTTTTGGTCCTCTATGACGTGTTGATATTTGCGGATTCTGTAGTGTGCATCCGTTATCATTAGGTGTACCATTTTTCTTCCACTTTGCTCAGCTATTTTCCATCCTAATGGGCAGTTGATTGGAGGTCTATATCTTACACTTGTTGGTAGAACATGCTGGCGAAGACACTCATGGAGAAAATATAGTTGTTCTCGAGTGGAAGCCTGCCTTTTGGCGAAATTCTCCCATTTTCGAACAACGAGAAGCGTATTACGCTCATATCGTATTATGCTCATATGATCTCAAAATCATATGAGCGCAATACGCTTCTCGTTGTTCGAAAATGAGAGAATTTCGCCAAAAGGCAGGCTTCCACTCGAGAACAACTATATTTTCTCCATGAGTGTCTTCGCCAGCATGTTCTACCAACAAGTGTAAGATATAGACCTCCAATCAACTGCCCATTAGGATGGAAAATAGCTGAGCAAAGTGGAAGAAAAATGGTACACCTAATGATAACGGATGCACACTACAGAATCCGCAAATATCAACACGTCATAGAGGACCAAAAGATGAAGCTACACAGGACACTTACGTCGAAACACTTGGAAATCTTGACAACGGCCATCGAGATATCATGCAAACGACATAGAGAACAAAGAAGGAACGCCTTAAAGAAAAAACTGATCAAGATCTCAAAACCACCCATGGAAGAAAACACAAACAACTGCGTGATAAATTTGTCAAAACAACCATTAACAAATACGGAAGAGCACCTACTCCAAAAAGGATTAAACTACAATACAAGCGACGCCTCAAAGCTGGAATTCTTCGCAGCACTGGAGTCATCACTCAAAACTTCGGGAATCAGTGAAGAAACACAACAAGAAATAAGGCAAACTATAGTACCGCTAACTCAACGTGCGAAGGAAAACAACCAACTGACTCCACAAGAACAAAAGGCCTTAAAATAACTCAAAAATAGAAAGGATATTGTCATAATACCAGCGGACAAGGGACGCACCACAGTAATCATGGACAAAGAAGAATACGTCAAAAAAGCCGAAGAACTACTAGAAGATAAGAGCACATACAAACTGATGGACACAAATCCCGTCAAAAAATTAGACAACCAAATCTCAAAGACCTTAAACAAGCTAGTCAAAGCAGGAGAAATAACAAAACAAGAACAATGGAGAATGAAATCCAACGGACCAGTACTTCCTCGATTCTACGGTAGACCCAAAATACACAAACCAAACATCCCACTACGTCCAATTGTAGCACTCCCCGGAACACCAACGTACAATTTGTCAAAAGAAATTTCAAGAATACTGAGACATTTAGTAGATTCAGCCAACCACTCAATCAAATCCCCTACACAATTCCTGGACCAAATTAAGGACATCCAAATCAACAACGACGAACTGATGATATCCTTCGACGTGACAGCACTATTCACCTCAATTGAACCAAAATTAGCAAAAGAAACTATATCCCTGCTGCTCAACAACGACACAAACCTCACTAAATACACGAAGCTTCAAATTCAAAGTCTACAGGAACTCATCAATTTATGCCTAACAACATACTTTCAATTCAACAACAAAATCTACGAACAAACGAAAGGGACACCAATGGGATCACCAATATCAGGATTGATCGCAGAGGCAGTGATGCAAAGACTAGAAGCCGCTATATTACTAGTGATCAAACCAAAAATTTGGATTCGCTACGTAGACGACACCTTCGTCATCGTCAAAAAGAATGAACTAGAAAACACTTACAACCTGATCAACAACGTCTTCGATGACATCAAGTTCACCATGGAACAGGAATCAAACAACCAACTAGCATTCTTGGATATATTGATCACTAGAACCGACACAGGAAAACTGGAAACTCAAGTATATAGGAAACCGACACATACGGATCAAATTCTCAACTACAATAGCAACAACCCCAGAGCTCACAAAATCAACTGCGTACACAATTTGTTCAAGAGGGCGAGGACACACTGCAACACACTGGCAGCACGAAGAAATGAAGAGAAATACCTAAAGGATGTATTTCAGAAGAACGGCTACCCCATCAACTTCATCAAAAAAAATACCAACCGCACGCAGCATTAGAACTCAAGTCAAGCACAAAAATCAACAAAAGGATCACCCTACCATATATACAAGGAATATCAGAAACCGCGACGAGACTACTGAAAACCTTCGGAATAGGTGTGGCACACAAACCGACAAAATCACTACAATCAATCTTATGCAAACCAAAAGATGAAATAACAAAGGAAAACAAATCAAACATCATCTACAAGATAAATTGTGCCAACTGCGAAAAACACTACATCGGACAAAGTGGACGCCCCCTTCACCTTCGCCTACATGAACATCAATTAGCAGTCAAACGGCATGATATCTCTTCACTTATATCAATACACGTGGACAACTGCGGACACTCATTCGATTGGAAAAATGTGGAAATCTTAGACAGAGGAAACTCCAAAAACATCAGAGAATTTTTAAAAGCCTGGCACTCAGGTCAATCAGTAATCAACAAGCATATTGAAATCAATCCAATTTATCAACCAATCAGAAAAATCATGCACAAACATAAGAACAAAAATCAAAACAATGGGAGACACAACCAAAACAAAGAAGTAAACAACGACAAATTTAAGGTCAATAAGAACCAATCAACGTCGAGGTGCACAGAACAAGCTTTGAGACACATATGGAGAAATTCAAACACTTCACTTATATCTGAAGTTTGTGCTGATGATGTCGTTCAGAAGAATGATGAAAGCTCCACGACCAAACCATCCAGCTCAGAGAACAAAACTCCACCAAAATCATCCACCTGAGCTACAAATCTTCTCCACCATCTCAAGATCGTATCTTATTTTTGTACTCGGCTTAAATGATTATACTCAAGTACATGAAGTAGAGTTAGAATATTTAACGTAGTGAGTGAAAGTCAGTAGTTTTCTGCTAGACACTTGACTATAGGATTGTAGACTGATTAATCTATGATGAGCCACAGTACATTAAGACTATTCTGTTGACGTTCGTGAGATTATCGTGACCAATGGTTGGAGACGTTGAGTGTTATGACTTAGATACATTCACTCTTTATCTTCTCTTAATTCCTGAGTTTGCAAACTATTTCACACGTTTCATACTGCAAATTTATTCTTCCCTGCCAAATTGTATAGTCTATGTCAAATCTTTCTAATTACCAATCATACTGTTACTACTTCTACTATTTTAGCGTTCATCTTGATAATTTTATCTCGCAGTTAGTATAGACCAATGTACATATACTTTCACAAAGCCACATGTATACAGTCACTGCCTTCTCGCACCAGGGGTGTTGTTTACAAAATTAAGAGGACGAAAAGCGAATGTCTGGCACACTAACCAATTTTCTGGATACGAATGATGCACCTAGGGGAGTTGGAAAACGCTAATTCTAAACCAATGGTTCACATAGGCTGAATGGGTTTGAGAGAACAAATGGCGTATGTACTTGTTTTTGGTCACCGGCTTCCATCAGATTGCATCTCCTTACGTTGCTCCACTGCCTTATGTATCAGACCTTTAGGTCGAAGGCACCAGGTATGACTCTCTAAGAAAACCACCTGCTTGGGTCTAGGTACCCGGGCAGTATCACAGGCCACACACAAATCAAGTGACTTGTGCCCTCTTTTACCTATGTTTATGTGTGCAAATAAATAAAATACATGTTTTATATTGTTGATGATTGATTGACAATGTGACATGAACTAATTATTTGGAATACAAATTAAGCTAAACTAAAAGTTTTTTATTAATTAGATTCTAGGTAAACATTGATTGCGTAAAAGTTCACATACACAATAAAATCATGAAAATTAATTAACATTAAAACAAAGAAAACAATGTTTAGTTTACCTGAGAGAATGGTGGTCGATTTTCACGTTGAAAACTGCAACAATCTAATGATAAACGTTGTAATTGATGAGGAATATCTGCACGACATACAGTTAGATCAGGTTTTAATAAACCTCGACCAACAAGAAATAAAATTTGATCACGATTATTATAATGAGAATAAGGTAGTTGACCAGTAATCAATTCATAAATCACTACACCATATGCGTATACATCTGAAAGATTAGTATACGGTGTTTCACCTTCCATACGAATAACTTCAGGAGCCTAATAAAAATAAATGTTAAAGGATGACACGATGAATAAGATGAAGTAAATCAACTGTTTCTAGGTAATGTAACAAGTAAAAATGTGAACTAATCTTTAAGTAAGCCTGTATTATTATTATTATTCTACTTACCATCCAAAATATAGATCCAGTTGGTTGTTGACAACCAGTATTCCACCAACGACTTTTTACTGTGGCCAAACCAAAATCGCCAATTTTCACAGTACGATCATGTAAGAATATATTACTTGACTTTAAGTCACGATGTATTATATTCTTAGCATGTAAATAACTAGAGAATGGATACATGAAAAATTTTTAATAGGAAATAGGACAAAATCATTGGAGTATTTCAGTCATAGAAATCTATTAGTATAGGAAAGTGGGGTGTTGTGGAGATTATTTAACTGTATTTTTACATTATAGACTGATTTTAATTAGATAACCATACTGGAAACAAAACAAATGTCCAGTGCCTCCTGGATTTTAGTCTTTTTTGAGCAAATTCAGTCTATCATGTGAAACCAGAAGAATTCCATTGGATTACATATTTATACATTCGAATGATAAGTCCGTAGGTTGTAATGAAACGTGTCTCCTTCAGAGCCACTTTAATATTAGGTTTTACTGTTTCATGACAGAGAAATTTAATCGCTGATAAATGTAATCCATCCAGTTGGAGACCGGGAATAAAACAAAATATATACGTAATACAGTTAATTCCTAATAGATAAAATCCAATGGATTATAGATGCACTATTGCACTGTCATCGAGTGGTAAGCGATTCCTGCCGGTAACCTCGAACACCCTAACATCTCATAGTAGTGCACGCAATGTCGAATAATAAAGATTAGTGCTTATAATGATATATGATTGGTAAAATCGGATCATCACTAAAGAAATGAAAAGAAAACATGAGCAGTCAATGTAATTGTTTCAGTCTTACGAGTCAGTCGTAGCTCCAATGACCCAGTGGGAATGTTTCAGATCATAAAGCTGGGTCATCCCTGTTCGAATCCACTAATTATTAGTTTAGTTAAGATTGTGCCAATTAAAATTAAACCTAGGTTCAGAGTTTTCTGTCTACCACCTCAAACCACCTGACATTTTAAATGGTCCTGTTAAATGCTTCCAGGCTGATATAAGAGACGATTTAACTGTGAGGTAAAAAGCTTTCGGATTAGACGCCACACCACTCAACATTATGAATGGTCAATTCCCGAGGATACTATAAAAGATTCCATATATCCACTCACCATCGACTGGAGCGGGAAATAAACTTCTGTCATGTTAAACAGTTGCAAGCTTAGTGCTAAAATTATTGAGGAATATTCGTGTTGCGTTCACAAATGAGTTGACATTTCGATTTGCGTAGCTAGTAAATTGGGAATTATATTGTCATATCGCATGATAACCTTTGTTTGTAATTTAGTCAAAATCTTCTAAGGAGGAATCAAATTATCTAGATTTGCTGTTAGTAAACTTCAATTCTAGTGAATAATTAAGTTCTTGATAGCTTCCAACTTATAATATCACGCTGTTAACCTTTTCTATTTTCTGAATAGTTATTTCCCGTTTTAGTATCCTACTTTGTTACACGTTTACAATGTCATTGCTATTACAATATAAACAGAATGATTATGTCACATTACGACTTAGTTTAGATGTGAATGAAGGTAGTTGACAACTTTGGACCTAGGTTTCGTAGTATATGGCAAGCATTAGCAAGGACTATCTGTAATTTTGAGGGAACTTCTATTGTCTGGTGGACACGGTCCAGCATTACTTAGCTTCACAGTCTAAAACATTACCACTGAGCTATTCGGGCCGCAACTGATCACCTGCAGGAATGAGATATTCACACCTGATTGACCACTGATTCGTATCATGTTATGATAAATATGACATTGTCCACTACTCAATAATCAATCGATTGTATGTTACGACTCCATTTTGAGAAAAATGAAGCTCCTTTGAAGGTATCATCTTATCGCTCTCTTTTTGTTGATTCGCGTGTGGATCATTAACATTGACATGTTGTTGCGTATGAATCGTTCGTTCACATAGATTCCGTTTTATATTGTAAGAATATTCTAATAGTTCAAAATCTATAGTAAAATGATTTTGGATCATTCAAGTACAGTATAATTCTAATCATTCGATTAGTGAAGTGTCAAATATAATTCACGTGGTAAATATTATTTCATTTATATATTATTTACAAACAATATGCTAGGTTTTGACAGGTGACTAAATTATATTTGGATTAGCGCTAATTGTATTGACAAAAATGGTAAGAACTGTATCGAGGATAAACACTCATAAATGATGAGGAAGTTCTAGATAAAAATACTTCAGAGAAAGTCTCAAAGCATGATATCAATAGAAACAATGACATATATCTGATTCATCATGTTATAAGGAGAACGCCAACCACATGGTCAAGGTCAACAGGAATAAGCAGTTAACGAAAATTAAGATGCATGGAACTAACACGACTTGAACAGATACTCCGTTGCAAACAAGATCAGCAGGACCAATTGATTTAGAGTTTGTTAAATGGTTATTAGATAAGTTAGGGAGGTCAGTGCCTAACACAAACTAGTGAAAACAATGCAAAGTTACATCAGTCAATTTACAGTACACATACCAGTGAACAATATAGAAAGACGACAAATCCACTACAAAATGAAACACTTACTCCATTCCCTGTGATGTTTGCTTGGCAATATCGACTAGTTCTGGAACATCAAAACGATGCTCTAACACATGAAGATGTTTATACAAACTGGACCCTTCACACCATTGAGTGATGATAGCTATACATGGTTTAGAGACACAACCCATAAATAAAAGAATATTTTCATGTCGTGTCTTTCTAAAATTAAAATGTTAAAAAAATAATAATAAAATGAAGAAACAAAGAAATTCTCAAACAAAAAATAACCAAAATCAGTTTTATTTTATTTATTTATTTTAACACATAGATATTGATACAAGGAGGCACCAAATAGATATGCGCCACACAGATCTCATTTGATATGTTTGAGGGCTGTGATTTTCTTAGGGGGCCACACCCGGAGCCTTCGACCTAAAGGTCTGATCCACGAGGCAGCGGGTCAACGTAAGGAGATGCAGTCCTATAGTGGCCGGTGACCAACGATAAATTCATACGCCATTTGTTCCTTCAGGATACTGGAGCCAATGTGCACCATTGGTTTGGAATCACGGTTTTCCAACTCCCCTAGGTGGACTCTCCATGTCCACCAGCCTGGTTGAAGCGCCGGACGTTCGCTTTTCGTCCTCTTAATTTCGTAAACAACACCCCCGCCACGAGAAGGCAGCGAGTAGGACTTCCCTGGCAGAGGCTATATACGCATGGCCATGTGAGAGCATTTCGAGAGGGAGAGCGGAATCTCCCCACTCTCAGCCATACCAGGGCATTTGGGGGGCACTAGTTCTTAATCATTAGAGAAATTAGTGATTTGTTACTAAGTCCACATACTATTTATCAACTTGAATTTAGTGTCTGTTCTGACAAGCTGGACAAGTCATATATTGTACCAAGGATATGTTACGTAACATTTAGGATAACTTGACTACCTATTATACTATAAAGTGGTCTATCAGTATTTAATAGTATGTAGATTTTTCCTATTAGAAAATAATTTTCATCATGGACTGATAACAACAACAAATGAATAATTTGGATTGAAAATTAAACAAGAACGCGCGATTTTAAAAAAACGATAGTAATTACCTCAATACACTGACTTCATTTTTGAAAGCTTTCAATTGTTGTGGTGTAGGATCAACAACATTCAATTCTTTAATAGCAACATTTCCATGCCAATAACCTTTAAATACAGTACCAAATGATCCAGAACCGATTCTTGGACCTTTAGTAATTTCTTGTCCATTTATCTCCCATTCATCATTTGAACCACGTCTCTAGCGATAACAAATATAATTTACATCCACATGGAAAAGATGAGTATAAGGCAAAAAAAGGTGGAAATATATGAATATACATTTATTTACTCAGTTTTTTGATTAAAATTTTTAAACTAAAACTGGGGTTTATCTTGCGTGAAGTGTAATAAATGAAAGAATACTAATGAATAAAGTCAGTTAATCCCAACGTCAAACCTGGTACGTATGCACATTGGTTCAAGTTGCCATACCCCGTTAGCACATAGAGATAAAGTTGTCAGGCTAAATCCCAGAATAGTAGAGATAGTAACAGTATTAGTGGCAATAGAAAATTTTAGGCATTGAAGATACGATTCAAAATATAAATTAGTGAAATATAAACACAAAAAAGGTTAAGAGAAATTCAGAAGCTCAGAATTTCGGGGAAGACAAAGAATAGATGCACCTGAGTCACTGCAAACGATTCTGAGCCATGTTATTCAAAGTCTTAAACTATTGGTTATGATAATCACATGAATGAAGTTAGACTGTTGTTTTAAAAAAGCAACAAACTAATGAACAAGTGATGAATTTAATATAAGATAGTTGGATATAATCGACAGACAGTCGATTATAATCAAAGTAGAACCTGGTACATATGTGTATCGATTCACGTTGCCACACCATATCAATATAGTGAGATGAATTCATCAAGATAAATTCCAGAGTGGTAGAAGTACCAAGCGTATCAATGCTAAAAGAAAAGATCAGGCATGAACAATATGATATGAGAAAAAATAATGAACTTTCAAAATAGAAAGTGTAAGACAAAAAGTGGGTGGATTTGTACCATTGTGACGGTCTTTCAGTCACGCCACTCAGCGTCTCCAACCATTGAGTTAAGATAATCTCGAGGAATCCAACCAGATAATCTGAACTTATCAAAATAACTCAGGCCTAAAGTTAAAAATTTCATGAACTGATGCCATGTCTTGTATTAACTACACCTAGATTTCGACAGAAAATTCAAGATATAGGGTTTTGTGTTAGCTGGAATTCATCAGGAAGATAATTTTCTTTAGAACTTTCAGAAAATTGATGCTAAAACCTATCAAATGTAGGTTCAAGTACTCAGCTTTGAGTCAAACTCTGTCAAAACACAAGTACAAGAAAGAGCTAATATCAATATCCGTCTAAGTTGGAGTGGATAGAATAGTGTTTGAATCTGCTTGAAAGAAATCGAATACGTTAATTACTACATTGCGCCGCTCTAGGAAGTATGGTTCCTGAGATCATCGATGTGATACAAGTCTGGGGAAGGATGACAATGATGTTCTTGAGTAAAAAAGTTTGATTTTCATTGATTCATGAACATTCGCAATGTTAGAGATAGACGTAGGGCATTATCGAAGGATGGTAAATCGATTGATGAGGCAGTAAACCTTCGTCTATGGAGGTGGTTGGGACATGTATTACATATAACCAACTACCACCTGCCTCAACATGTGATATTTACTGGTGTAGAAAAAACTTAGAAGGAAACTAGGGGCAGCGAAAAGGTGTGGCACTAGTCTAAAAAATCACTAACGATTGGACTAAGCCATGGAGATATATGTAGATTATCTGGTTAGGTTTGTGCGATTATTGTAGGTAATGGTTGGCGACTTTAGATGACATGCCTCAGAATCACTTGCAGTGGCCCAGGTGCATTCACTGTCTTTGGTTAAATTCTAATTTTTCAAATTACCTTATACATCTTTTTTATTTGACTAATCAATATTTTCTTCTCGGAAAATATCTCTTCTGCTTGGTCTTTTTTAATACTACTAATACTGATACTACCTCTACTACCATTGGATGTGCCTTAATAATGTTATTTCGCTATGTTAATAATGTTCGGCAACTTGAACCGATATACATATGTGCCAGGTTCTACGTTGTGCATGGCTGACTCACAACTAACTCCCTCTAAAGTAAATCAATGATGTTAGTATAGGATTCTAAACATTCACACTGATTATTGAATCAATGGGCAAACTTAATATGTGGTATATTACATGAATGTTCATACATAACTATAATCAAAACTCTAATTTTTCTTGTAAATATTAAAGACTCAATAGAAACACAACATCAATATGTAGTTTTTAGCTAAAGTCTTTGAAAATCAACGAGCTGTTTAATTTCAGCATGGAACATTCTTTATCACAGTGTATAATGTTGTCAGATAATGAACCAGAATCTTGATATATCCTCCTTGACAATAATATTTTTAGTGCACAAACAAAACTTCATCGATGTACATATATAAACATTTTTTTTTTAAAAAGATAATAAAAATTTACATTTTTTACTTTGATAGATTGTTTTGGATCACTGCCAGATCTTTGATTATATGGTATAGATAAATTTGATAGAAAACAACCATCATTGGGAATTGATGGACTTTCTGGTACTCCATTACCAGTTGTATAATTATAATCTATATAAAATAAATGAACAAAAATAAAATGAAAGTATACGATCTGGACGACTTTGAGAGACCTACCAGCCAATTAGGAAACACGATTTAGGTATTAAAAAACTTTGACGATAAATAATAAAATTTCAGTGAAATAATAGTTGAAATAATCATTATACTAAAAGAGGAAAAAAGTTAGATCTACATTTTAAAAGTTAAGCTAGTGTTGTGAATTAGGTTTGTAATCCTATAGGGTTTTTGTCCCTAACCTATGTAATAAGCTATAATTCATGTAGGCTTGGGTGAGGTAATAAGTGTTGAGCTGAAATTACAAGTTGGAATTAAGATTAGGGTTTTCATCACAATTATAATGCGACAAAGCTTTACAGCCATTGTGTTTACGAACTTAATAAATGTAGGGCTGTTACTTAAAGTGAGTAGCACGAGCTTAAACACTATGTTATACTGACTGTTTGGTTACGTGGTAAATACTTGTTTGTCTTAGGAACAAAAGGTGTTGCCGATTTTCATCCAATCAATAATAATATACAAGATGTTTGACTGCACAAAAGTCCACGATGCACTATAGCGATCCCGACTGGTTCACTCAAGGCCGTCAGTACCGTATAGTTCCAACGAAAATTATTTGTCTTGTTAAGACTTCATAACCTACGAAAGTCTTTACTATTTAGCTACTTCTCATTATATATTAAATGTTCCTCAACAGCTTAAAGACTGACAATTAAAGATGAGATTTTAAAGCTAAGCATCACTGATTAGATATTAAATGAACAATATATTTAAGACTATCAGTGATGTTAAGCAATGAGATCAGATACATACATATGAGCAGTATAGAATCTGGAATTTGCCCATTTACATATCACAGAAGAAGTGTAAGAAATAATGAAAATGAAATCAGTGACAATCTGTTAACGAGAAAGTAAGGTAAAAACAGTTCGGAACAAAAAAAATTAATGAATACATTTGTCATATTGAGGGTCATAGGTGATGAGACTCACTGAAACACAATAACCACCTTGGATAAACTGAAAGACCAATATTAATTACGCGCTTTTCGTATACTTGTTTTAAAACCCTGAACACATATTATGATGAACTGAATTATCAATGATTAACAACTCAGATCACTATACATTTAATGATCCGAGAAATAATTAAGTGTATTATTGTTGCAACGCTACGTGTAAATGATTCAATTACACATAGAATCTGTTTAATTTATTCCCAAAATCTATACTGAAGATATGATACTGATCGAGTGCTAATGTCTATAAAATAATGCCTCAACGGATATTTAGTAGTGCTCGCAGAGTGACAAGGAAAGTCTTCGTCAAAACAGTTTCTAATGCTTTGAAAGAAGCCGATTACACAAGGACAACACTGATGACTAAATACTATTAATATTATCATAGAACACAAATAAAAAGTTCATTGAAAGCGATAGTTGATACGAACTAATCAAGAGGCAAGAATAAGACGAAGAAGAGGTTCGTAGTGTTATAAAAAAGGAATATCATGTTGAAGTGCGGTGATTTGCGACTGATCCGATCAATTGATGTACAGATAAGATCAAATCACGACTAACCGCATAACCCAAATATTAACAAAATGCCCACCCCCTCAAACTAATAGAGAATAAAAGACGATAACCAGCCAACAAAATGGCACACAAACGAAATATTTAACATGTAAACATACATGATTAAGAGTCAGTATACCACGAGAACTTTTTAAATTATTCACCAGGTAATTTAATCTAAACATGACTATAAGAATTAATTTCTGCTATTTACATTATTCAATTATCCGACCACAGCCTAATATGGAGTGAGAAGATTGATTTTAGTAATAATTATGACAACAGTAATAATAATAACACCATGTTTGTAACTCTAGTAAAATTTTGTAGTACCCAACTCCCGGTTTGCCAACACCAGCATATGAATGCTACTCAAGATATAGTAATAAAAGACTCATATTGAGTTAGGAGGAGGGAAATTAGAATTTACTAACCAAAACACTTGATACCTAGTTAAAACAAGCGTAGTGAAATGGATAATCGGTTTATCACTGTATTACATCACAGGTCGCAACTCTTCATGACAAATGATCATAAATTAAAAAGTTAGTCTAAATATTTCCTCAGAAACACTGCCGAGACTATTTCGCTTTAATTGCTTATCACTGCGTGAGTGTTAAGACTAGTGTGTCTTCCAATGCAAAAGCAATATTATATATATATATATATATAGTAAACGAGAAAATACTTACTTGTAACTGGATATACAATGTGTAAAGGGGATCCTTGAATAATTTTATTCGCCTCTCGCTAAAAAATTGTATACAGAAGTAGAGGGTAGAAAGCATAACAGCATCAACTGAATCTGAGGTTAAAATGAGAAAATTATTCATAACCATGTCCCATAAACAAACAATTTGAATATCATGTATTACAACTAAACACACTTGTATGAGCACACATAAGTAACTCAAGAAATGTAAAACAAGTTTCCTAACTGGGTAGAAATGTGTAAATCAATAACCAGCTACCCAAACGAAATGTTTGAAATAAAATAACCAGAAAAAAGGAAGTGTTTTACAAACTACACAGTTGTGTCAAATAAAACCAATAAAGTGGTTCTGTGAAACCTACTGAAGAATCCATTGAAGCACAGAATGACCGCACCCGACGTATGCCAAAATATGTAGTTGGTGAGAGAGATAGCTTTGATATATGATCTGGGCATAAATTTTGGTTTGGTGAATAAAATCTTTCAGGTAGTAGTAGGATTTTGTAGTCTTGTGAGGTCGGCTCTTGTTTATTAGAAGATAAATTATGTGTTTTACGTGAAAGACTACGGAGACTGGTATTATCTGTCAACACTATATTCAGAGGATTCTCAGAAAAAGCTTCGTACAATGAGCACGATGTAGATAGTTGGCTGGTTGTTGAAAACGTTTCTTTAGAAGTATTTTTTGTAGGAAGAGGAAGGGAATGGAGACCGATTGGTTGGCAATTTTCATAGATACCGCTTGATGACTTACTACTATTACTACTACAACCACTAACATGAAGCTTTATAGTAGTGTCACATCCAATAGTTAGTAATCTACCATATGAATTATAAGGAACATGAAGATGACTCTTATAAGCTACAGAATTATGCCCACGCTCATTAATACACGATGATATACTTCTAGGAAATATTGTACTACTGCGAGATTTCATAGATAACTCTCCGCAAACTTTATCATTACAATTATATGTAGACATGTATTTTGCATCGATCGGCTTCATTGTCGTCATCGTCACCGTCGGAGTTTTATGATAAAATAAAAGCGAACTATTAGTATTTACCAGTCTGATATTATCAAGAGTACAATGTTTTAATGGATATGTTGGAGCAGACAAAGTGGATAGTTTTCTATCCGAATATTTACCATTGCAACGAATGTTGTCAGAATTTGTATTATTATTATTACTTTCAAAGTTATCGCCATTCACGCAGATGATAGGACAAAGGGAGTTTGAAGTCTCCAACTGTTTATCAGTCATAGTATTTTTGAAACAAGATTTAGATGGACGATCACAGTGATGGTAGTATTGATAATTGCTCTCGTGACTACTTGTATTAGTCCCAGTGCAAAATGAACATGAAACTAATAAGTTGGAAAGTAAAGATTTTATACTCTTAGAATGGTTTGGTTTACACACAGGTGAAAATACATTATGAACAAGTTTAGGATACAGTCGTCTACATCGAAAGACAGAAAAAAAAGTGATGAGAGTAAAAATGTGCAGAAAAACGATTGCGTCACACACAAGGATAAATAGGGCAATATGTTACACATTATTAACAGTAGGAAAACAAATTGCATACCCATACATGTATATACAGTAGTATCGGAACAGCATATGAAAACAACAATCGCAGAATAACAAGATGTAATGCAACAAATACTTCATCTTAATAAATATTAACATTCTGAACAAAATAAATCAAATGATGATTCCTCAATTAAAAAACAACAAATTATCAACTAACTACCTTTCCAAGTGAACTGGGAGTGAATAAACTTTTCTGTTGATTTGGTGGAATTAAATTGTTCGATACATTCGGTGTTGACGATGAACGTTCTCTACAGGTTAGTGACAAACACTGACGAGGAAAATGTCCACCTCCACTTTCGAAAGATGTTGGAAGATATTGACTATTCAATAGAAGATTATTACTATCGAAACCACCTCCAGTAGAATTAGTCAATACACGAACTGTTGTTAGGTCTTCAGGATTAAAATGATAGAAATGTGTATAGCCTGGTGTTGCATTTGAAGAAACTAACCAATTTGATCCGTGTATAGATGAATTAGAAGTACCCAAAGAGCTATTTATGGAAGGAGAGGTTAATAAATAACTCCAGTATTGAAACAGACAATAATCATGTAACGAAATATGTGAGATATGATGAAGTTCAATCATACAATCCTATGTTAATTAGCAGGTTTTCTTGTCAACCACGTTATTAGACAGCTACACACAATTCCGCTTTACAGAAAAAAGTAAGAACACTTCTCTTAAAATTCCTATGATGAAAAAATTGATTGAAGTGGAGGAAAGTGAAATCTGCCACTTTAATAATGAGGCCTGCTGTAAGTGTCTTACTGTTGTTTGAACAAGTGTGAAATCGTGAAAGTGTTTTTCGATCGGTCAGCATTTCAAGACCAATCGTGGAATACCAGCCTAGGTTCATAATGTACAAATTGCAAGCAAAATATACTTAAGATTTTGATGGCTTCTAATTTTTGAAAGTCAAATATACAGGATAAACGTTAAGGAACTATTAACAATGACTTACTTTCGACTGCTTAGTTGATCACCAACATAGAAAACATCATCATCTAAATTGGACAAGCAATTCTTATCGACACGCGGAAGACAACGATTATGATAGGCGCAACCACAGGCTTTACATATAGCACCTTTAAATGTAATTTTTTTATACAAACGTATAAACAAATGAAAACAACTTACCATGGAATATAGACTTATGGCATAGATTACAATAAGCCTTTTCAAAAAATGTCTTTCGTTGAAAATGATGTTCTAAACGTTTAAAGTTTCGTCGAGCAAAATCAACTATTAATTCTTCACCAATTAAAGCAATTTGTTCAGCGTCATCTTCCCATGAAACTGGTAGACTAGTTCATTTTTATATTTGAATCCCGAGCAAAATTTCAAAAAAACAAATTATAATAAATGAGGATTTAATCACAAGAGGAATATTTACATGAATAGTAATGGAAAAGTGAAAAATATTCTGCAATATTATGCTCTGAGCCTGCAACAGTATAACAACTGATGATCGAGTACTTTGATGAAGACCGTTCATTCGACTACTACAACAAAATGCAGGATACGGGATCCACGAATTACCCATCACTTTCCCATCAAATGTAAATAAACAACCCCATAGGAATATTGAACACTCAGCTATAGGTGACCATATCTTGCAGAGTGAGGAAATGCACTCATCAAAGCATTTTGGGATATAAACTCTACAGTAAAGCAGGAGACGAAACAGTAGCTATTATTATCTACAACATACACCAATTTTAATATTTAAAGACTGATCTTGTCTGATGTAACATGTAAAGCACACAGGAACACGGAATATTCTACTGCTTTCAAAACGTTTAAGTCAATGAGGTAAAAGCAAAGATGATTTCCTAATTCCATGCAATTAATTTACGACTGGTGCAGAGTATCAAACTTAGGAAGTGAGTTAAATACATTTTAAACTTTACGTTATTATGCAGTGAGGAGATACTAAAACGTATTTTTCAAAGTAACAACACTATACAACCTGAAGAACATCATACATGAAAGTAGTTGGTGGAAAATTGTAGACAGTGGGCACATGGTGATCATTATATAGAAAAAATTCGAATGAAACTCAACCTAGCCAATATAATTCAGTTTCAAAAGCGTTTCTATTGCATATTATTGTTACGACACAATATGTTGGCACGTTTGTAAGATTTATACCCAGGACTTATATTTTAACACAACTTTTAAGAGATCCTAGCATATATGAGTACGTACTTATAAAATAGTAACCAAGGGAAATAATTACCCTGTACGTGATCGGTAAACAATTAACTGTTCTAAGTGTAGACCACGATGTGATAATTTCTTTTCTAAAGCATGTTTGATTTGTTGTCCAGATTTAATTTCAACTAATGTAAATTGACTGTTTGGGAAGTGTGCACGTAAACGTAATTTTGTTGTTATTGTTGTTGTTGTTGGGTGAGATGATTTAAACTCAGAAAATTTATTATTAACACTTTGTAGAGTTCCTAAAGATGAATTATCTAGTTGAACTGGGGAGTTGGTTGACGATAAGAACACGGATGGAAGAGACGGAGATTGAGATGACGCAACAATAGGTAATTTAGTTGACCCAAATGTCAAATTGATACTGTCATCCCCATTGTTATTATTATTAAGATTACTAACATTACTACCGTTAGTTGTACTATTAGTACTGTTATTTAACACCACAGTTGTCACCATCATCATATACTGATCAAGTTTCGATTTCCAATCTTCCAGTTCACATGTATACCTATCTATGGCTGATTGAACAATATTAATATCGTTAGAAACCTCATCGTATTCTTTTGTAATTAAACCAGAGAAATCTTCGTGACGATTGATGAAATTTAATAGTTGATAAGTTTTCAATTGTAAGGCCTGATTAACCAAAGTGAAATCTGCTATCTATCAAAAGAAAAAAACCAGGAACAAAAGTAATGTCTCTAACAAATGATAAAATAGATCAGAATAAGACATCACTTTGTAAAAGTTATAAGTCATTTAAGGAGTTACTATCCGCGAACAACCTGAAAATACTATAATACTTTCATATTTTAACCAGTGAGAAATTTGCTGTATATCTTACATTGTACCCACACCCCCGTCATTTAGTCGACTAAAAGACTTGTAATCTCTGAGTTGTCACTTTTTAATTGTGCAAATATTGCAATAAAATGTATTTTTCATAAGATTTGACCTGGTCATTCAAATATATCGATCACCTAATTTACATGTTTTATAATAATCTTACAATCTATCGTAAAGCCAAATACTGGGAAATCTAGGTGAAATCACCATAGCTATTTGTGTATTTTCTTCATTTATCCTTTGGAGAGAAGATAAACAGAAACGATTGATTTCATGAACAATGTGTATGCATTGTATGATAAAAAATACATCATATCACATACGTTTATTTCGTGTTTAGGACTCTTCACCTAATCAGTTAAATGACATTAAATAGGGTGGTTATCATTATTTCAGCTAAAAAGATATTAAATAGTTTACATAAAACCAACAGATAAAGTAACACTTCGTTATGAAACAGTACTAACCTTGCTTTTTAAAGTGTCACATTTTTGTTGGAGAATAGGTATAATAGTTACCGCAGAATCCACGGTCATTGTACAGAATAATTACTTGCAATAATAAGCTTACAATAAACTGACTTGAATTTAAACAGAACAGGTAGAGTAGTTGTTTTTATCCGAAAAAATATAAATAAATAAAAAAAGGAGACAGGATTTTAAAACTTTCCAACATTAACTCTAAAATATCAATTTTCTATGTGGTCACAACTAAATTCAATCAGAAATGGAATTTTTGGGAAAATGACCCATCCACATTATGCAAAAACATAATACTTCCAATGAGCTTAATATGTTGTTCCACATTACAAATAGGGGAGAAAAACTATGACATATGAACAATAAACAATAATTTTTGTGACAACGGTAGTGGAGAAATAAAGTATTAGGGACAGAATATTAGACAAAAAGTAGGAAACATAATAAATAGTCAAATGTACATTAAAACAAAGTGAAAAATGTGCCATCAAGATCAAATTTGTGTCAAATTAAGTGGACTCTTATTATTTTCGGATTCCACAAATTCCACATTAGAAAGTACTACCATGTGAGAGCGATGATAAAAAGACGCTCTGTGATCATATAATTGTTATTACTGAGCAGCTGCATCACTTCAAACACCCGGGTAGTATTTCAGCCCTAGCACAAATCGAATTTGTGGTGCATATATATTTGGTGTCTCCTTGCACCAACAGTTACGTTTAGACAAATAAAAAAATAATAACTATTCAGCCACTGTGAGTACTATTAGATAAAAGTAGTAGTACCATTGTCCTGGAAAACCTGAATAGAGATAGCAGAACTACATAAAATGAAGAATATTTATAAATTGAGCACTTTTTCTGGCTACAATATTTATGCCTCGAATGAGTGACTACAGTGGTTCATGTAGAATAAAACATACATTCCATACGTAACTAGATATCATGCAACACAACGAGTGGAGTTAGCTGAAAATAACTAAACAAGCTTTTTGCACTCAAACCGACCTTCTACCAGAGATGAAACACCACAGATAGTACCACCGTTTAAATCAGTCATGTTCATTTATTTGTCTTTCTTTTACGATTGACGTTGAGTCGTTGAGATCTATGTGTTCAAACTAGTTACTTTTCAAGAGTGTGTTCAAACGCCAAAGGGATTACCACTAGTTTTTGTTATTTATGACAGACCCATAACCCTTCCTACAGCTAACAAACAAAACACTAGTTTGACATGACAGACGTTTGCTGAAAGTGAAAATTATGAAATAATGTGATTGATGGGTCGCTTCAGTAAGATCTACTAGTCTCTAAACCAGAAGTCCGACTTGAACATTGAGGCTTACCTTTCATACCTTTGACACTACAAGAATAACATAGTGGTCAGAAACGCCGACCTAGAGGTGGTGTGCCAATGATAAACTATGGGTACACCTTTCTTATTTGATTACATTTGATTGAATCAGGACAATGATCACTTACGGTCTTACAAAGACACACGATTTCAATGAACAATTCAAACAGGATAGTGACTTAAATCCTAAGCCAAATATAGATCCTTTGATAGGAACTTATCCATCTATGTCACTTGCCATAAAAAAGAGCGTGCAGGTTTAAATGACCTGTATAAACCTAACAACTATTCATATAACATTTCAATCATCCCACGGTATTTAACTGGAAGTCACGTTTAAACTAAGTAATATGTAACCAGTTTTTTTAAATCTTTTCGGTCGACTCAAAAGCTATTTACATTAGTTGGTACACAACTCACCACAATACGTTTTTTATTTTAGCCGCCAAAGTTTACTACTGGTATTAAACGGGAAGATTCATCGGTTGTGGGTGTGATTATATCTTACTAAACTCCAGAACTTTCATGAAATATGCCTTAACGTTATTATTTGCCAGATATAACTTTAGATCAAAAACGGTGGGGTCAAAAACATTTAACAACCCAAAGTGGGCATTCGTTCCGTCTAGTCCGAAATGTTGGCGACTACTTCACATACAATGTCCAATTTGTTTGTGATCAAGACAATGTTGAAAAGTGGACCTTTCTCCGAGAACTTAGTGTGTGAGACAAATTTTCACAGTTAAGCCCGTCTGATTCTTTAAAGGGTTCTATTAGGCTAATGTGTAAGAGATGTTTGTGTTTTAGTGAGGTTGTCCGGCTAATCCAAGTGGTCTATTTTACATGATTCATCAAGTAGAAAGATGTATTTCCATGCAGATGAAATGGATTTACTGAGAAATAATAACTATTTACATGATCGTTACTCTGTGGTGTGATTCATATCAGTACACAATATGTGGATTCGTGTTACCCAACGTAAGAAAATATAAAGACTTAGGGGTCATACTAAGCAGTGATCTCAAAACTGTCACTGTGAGGCTACTGCTGCAAAAAGCTGTGGGGTTTTACGGTCTATTCACAGGCCTCCCCAGTATTTGAGTGATGAAATGTTATACCCGACTTAGGTGCGATACTATTGCAATATGCGATTCAAGCAGCGAGTCCTTGTTTCAAGTATGAGATGGATTTGCTAGGACGCGCCCAACGATGAGGGACTAGGATGGTAGGTCTATTTGGTTGAGACACCTCAACTAATTTCCATTGTCTCACTACAAATTTCGGGTTGATCTAACATTAGTTCACCGTATATTGAACAATGACCTATTGAAGATGCCCCATGTACTCGGAGTTTGACAATGCTTTAACCAGTAACACCTTCTATTAGGAAGCGTACTAACCAAGTGAAATCAAAAGACAGAAGCGAGGAGGTTCAAAGATATATTTGATAGGCTATCAATATACCGAGGATCGTCTGTTCTAATCTAACTAGCGATTGCAGGGATGTTGAGCACGGCGTTCCCACGCATGATTTTGTGCGGATGCATGACCGAAAGCCTTAAGCTAAGTGAGTCCATTAAAACTAATGTGGTCAGCATCCAATGTCGAAAACTTACAAGGATATTTATTTTGAGGATTTATTTACCGCTACACTATGTATTAATATGTCTTATCTTTTCCTTCTGTCTAGGACTGATCATTAGAGATCGAATCGTTTACGTCTGAAGTTTCGTTTCTCACACCGAGTAGTGAATTACTGGAATTCTCTGCTACAATACGTAATGTCAGCACCTTCTGTTGGTATAGCCAAAACAAGATTGAAACTCCAGTGTTACAAAGGATTATTATATGTCGATAGACCTTCTATTCTTATTACTGAAAACTGCAGGCTGAAAGGTAATGTTGACCTCACCAGTGTAGATCACCAACGTAGATGATCTATGTCGAGTAATTAGGGGTCTAATTGAGTTAAACGGGAGTGGCGTGACCAGCTAACTTCGAATTCGCACATTTTGGTCAGCACCTAACGTGGGTTAAACTGTCGTCGTTGCAAGGTATCATCGCTGCTTTGAAGACAGTATAACACAAAGCATTTTGTTACAGGAATATATTGCTGAGAGTATGTACAAGGAAGAAGGTGCGACCACCACCGCATGGACCAGTCCACAGCACGCGGTTGCCTAATGTGGGGTTGCTGTCCTTGACCTTGATGAGGGTCGACGGCCTGTTAGTTATTCAGTGACCCAACTGCCGGATGGTTTGGCCAGGGCTCGGAGGCATCTCATTTTCTCTACAAGTGCAGGAACACACGAAGGCAGTTGGAGGCTTCCTATTTATTACTCCCCTTATATAACACTATAACCATCCTCTTTTGAAGTTTAGGTGTACGTTAATTACCTGCTAAGAAACAAATGAAGAGGGTGCCAAGCGTAAAGTAAACAAGATCCTTATATTACTTCGGGACTATTTGTTGAGCACTATGTCAGGCGATTGAACTGTGTGGATTGAGTGTCCCAGAATCCACTTGATTCTGAAATCTTCGGAGCTTACAGAGCTCAGGTCAACGTGGGAAAAAGTAGGATAGAGAAAATTAAATAAACTTATGACAAATTGAGGGCAACTGAGTTGGAATTCTTTAGTCAACAACTTTGTAACCTTACTGATGGGTGGTATTTGGAGATGAAATGTCTCACACAGTTCCTTAATAATATACTAACGATGACACTACTCGAGTATTTTGCTAAATAAGTTCGAAAACAAATTAATCGGTGCTCGGAGTTGTTATTGCAGAGGAACTGACTGGCAGTGCTAACGATTATTTGTATAACATAACAGAGAACGGTAAGATACCAGGTCTTATGGGATATTCGCAGATTAAAAGAATTTTCCGCCTTTTTCAATGTGATCTTGAGCTTACTCCATTTCGCTACAGTCAATTAGTCTACAATAAGTGTTCAACATTTACATGGTTATTCTAACCTTAAAACCGAACGGGGTGGGTGAGATTTTCGTCAGAAATACGTCACCCTATCAAGACGGTTCGTCAAAGAATGGAAGAACTTAGTTTTCGTAAAATTAAAAACACTGAGTTTGGAGAAATCGTATTTTTTCAAGAAATTCGTCAACAAGTCGTACGATCGTCTATAAATGAAATATTTTAACTATTTGTTTCCTGATGACATGCAGTCAAGCTTTAACTAAGATTGTTTTAATAATAAAGATGCCGTATATATTCAGAGTTCGACAACGTCTTTATACTTAACAACATAATAACCAAGCTATGCCAACACCGTGAAATCAAAAATTAGAAATGAAGTGATCCGAAGATAAATTTGAAAGGCTACCGATATATAGATATTTTCGGCTAGTTGAAAGGGTTGCTTTCATCTAGGTCTGTGCAGCAAGACCAGTATGGTTAGCGCCGATGGAGAGGGCCTATAGAACTGTTTATTTTGAAAGTTTATTTACCGATACAATGATGACAAAACATTCTATCCCAAGTATGTATCTGCATGTCAGCTAACGTGATTCTTTGAGCTGCAGCATTGATGTTGTAAATTTTGAAATAATGTAGCTCAAAGAATCAATTGCGCCGACATGTAGATACATACTTGAGCTAGAATGTTTTGACTTTTTTATATGCTTAATACTTCATATTTCGTACAATCGTAACCTGCACGAGGGGCCTGAGTAAATTTAGAATCGATGTCTCTCCAGGCGGTAGATATTGATGTGGCCCGTTGATCTGACTCCAAGATCGTACGAATGATCGTTATCACCTATTCTCGTGTATAATCGTCGACTTAAATCGCGTTATCCAATAACGGAATTAAATAAGTCGAATAACGAGAATTGACTTGAGAATACATATATTTCGTACATGAAGCGAATGAAACAGCAAAGCAAAAATGACGCGTATGGAAGATGGCTGGGAAGCCAACTCCATTTTAATTAAGCGTTACTCAATATTTATAGGCAGACAAAATAAACTACAGACATGTGATGAATCATGGGAATATGATGTGCACACACATATACGCTCATGTGAAAACAGTCAAGGCCAATAAGCGAATAATTGACAAGGTCAAAATATGACTCAAGTAAAATGAATAAAATAGGATGTCCGGAAGTTAGAATAAGGTATATGGGCTTGCCATAATAACTGACACTACAATATTCGTATCACAGAGTTGACTTCATCAATAACCATGATAAATGAATGGTACAACCTGAATTCTAGATTTATTCTCGTGAATGACGCTCAGGCTAATCACTATTATGTAATGGCTCTAGTAATAGGTACGTTGGACATTCGCTTAGGCACCGCAAATGGGATCCAGTATTTATTGTCAGGCAGATAAAGGAAGGCAAATAAGGATAACGAATAGAGTAAGTGTAGCTACTAGAAATATATTCGAGTTCCAGAAGAGTACGCTACGCGATTCATTCTTCTAAATAGTGACGATTATGGATTGATATAACCAAAACAGTGAACTGATGAAGAAGTTTGGTAGTGTAAAGTCTAAGTAAATAGGCTATACAGTAAATCAAATCGTCAAAATGGGATTCAACCAACTTTTCAGGAAATAACAGTGTTTTGGTCAAGTAGAAAAACGGTTCTAATCCACTGAACGATGATTATTTTTATTATCGCTAGCTTTATCGAACATTATATTTTCGGAATTCTTGGTCGATACTAAAGATAAATATTGAGTGATCGTCACTTAGATATTAGTTATCCAGTGAATCGACATCAAAATAATGTACATTATTTTCACTGCATATTGCGAGCAACAACGTCAACTCTGATTGAGCCTTTTGTAATTTGTACGCCTTTCATAAACACACCGTAACAGATCATTCGACTAACAGACAAAGTGATGTATTAAAACAAGCGAAAACAGATAAGTCTTTGAAATATCTAGATTGGTGGAACAGGTAGCCCAGATGTTCAAGCAGACAAGCATTAGAAATAAACGATCATATTAGGGGTTCCCAGCACCCAATAATAATCTAAGAGCGACGGACATATATGGCGGATGTCGTAATCAAAGTTAGCGCAAAGCTAAAGACCTATCAACCAATAATGCGATGAAGGAAACCAAATTGTGAATAAATATCAGCACAAACCATTTCCTTGAGCAAAGAATAAACATTATATACAAAGTAGATGAGAAGGTAAACACACGGGGCAAGCGGAAGCAAAATACTAATATCATATAATACGAGCACACGACGGATTTTCCCTCATCCAAACACATACAAATATTTACAGTGAGTGATAACCAGACACACGCCCATATAGATTTGTTAAAGGGTCATAAGCGAATAATTAACAAATCCAACTGCGTATAAAGACAGTGATTAGAAACATTTGGTTCAATTTGTTTGTCAATGTTATAAAAAGCTTACCTGAGCCAATACACAACTGATTTGCTATTATCACACATACATCTAGATCAATGTGATCAAGTCTTAAAACAAGAGCCAATTCTATATTTATTCTAAGACATATCATTATTGTAGAGACTTTGACAACACGTTATTAGGGTAAGCGTCCATAAGTCATCTGAAATATAACTGTTCGCCGATTATACAATTGCTAGAAGCTCATATCTAAATAGAGTAGCCCGTAATTTAATATAATGTTATTAAACTTTGAATTTAGGCTGATTAGAAAGGACGTATCACTAAGTCTACAAAACGGATAGTCGATTGTCGGCATCATATTATGAGTCGAAAACTGAATGATCACCCGCGCCAAATGTCATCGATCCAAAACATTTACGCGTCTTAATTCTATGAAGCAAACACTGGGTCATGCGAGAAAATACCTGTAGGCCCTAAATTTTTCTGATACCTCTAATGCACATTATCAGGTATTTTCGATAACGGTTCATTATCATTTAATCCAAAAAATGATAACAATACTCTGAGGGCTATCTAATGATAGGGCAAAGTATTTGCTAGCCTTCTTAAGTTCTAAAAATATGAGGGTTGACTTAAACCGATTATTATTCATAACTCAGAACATAAACGATATAGAGAGGACTTTGTCACGTCCAAACACCAGCAAGCATCCTTTGAACCATCAGCCGTAACATAGATGTCAGGGGAAATACTCGAAAGTTTGAGGTTCGACATAGCAGGTCCGCGTTGATAGGCATCAGTCACTCTTTAGACCAGTTTATAATGTTGCTTAAGTCTGCCTGAAGAGCACATGCGTCTTTGTCTTCAGTTATTACTCGTCAGATCTTTACATCGTCGGCGTATAATAACATTGGTGACTGTACTATACTTGGGAGATCATTTATATTCGGTATAAAAAGCAGAGGATTTAAGACAAAACATTGAGGTACTCCACTAAGTACTGGTCTCCAGGTGGAGCACTTCAAATTTATTCTTACTCTCTTTCAGCGACCTACTAGGATATCCTTAAGCCACTTTAAAACAGGTTCGGTAATACCAAGATTTTTTAACATCAATAGAAGTCTTTTTGCTGGTACATAGTCAAAAGCCTTACTAAAGTCTGTTTAGACAACATCCACTGAGTTTCCGTTGTCTAGCGTCTTTATCCAATATTTCATTGATATAAGGAGGTTCGTTGTACATGATAAACCCTGTCTAAAACCATGTTGTTCGCTGGTTACCAGGTTATTGGTTTCCACACATGTCATTATGGTCTTTTTGACTATTCTTTCCAATATTTTGACTAAAACACTGGTGAGACTTACAGGTCTGTAGTTCGATAGAAGTTTTCTTGGTCTTGTTTTATCTATAATAGTGATGATTGCTTCCTTCCAGTCCCTAGGTAACACACCTTGGTCAAGTGACATATTGAATATCACAGTCAGTGGGGTCGCAACATATTGTGCAATGTGTTTCAAGATTTTGGGGTGTAGTTCATCTGGTCCCGTTGACTTTTTCATGTCCAAGATGCTAGCTGCCTTAAGTACATAGTCTTGATCAAAGTCCACGGTGAGCAGGTGATTTGTTGGCCATGTATTTGGGTCTGATTCTTTGTCTGGAGGAGGTTCCTGAGTGAAAACAATCACAAAATAGTCATCCATAGCCTCTACTTTTTCCTGATCTTCGTCTATCATTTCAGCTTCATTCCCTCCTTTGATTACGTTGGGAATTCAATGATGCATCCCTTTTCTGTAATTTATGCACGAGAATAGTATCTTAGGCTGCTTGAGTGCAGATTGTGCCTACTTCATTTCATATTTTCTTTGAGCTTCCCGTGTTTTAATTATACACGTGTTTCTTACAGATCTGTAGCGTTCCATCGTACCTACTGTACCAGGGCTGATAGCAACATTACAAAATTTCTTCTTTTGTCTTTGTAAACGTCGAATATCCCGACCTGTCGAGGGATGGTAGGTGCTTCTTCTTTGGGACTGTTCGGGGTACATATGGTTGAGTTACCTGATTGTATGACTGCCTGCAATGAGTCCGTGCCCCTTCTGTTTATGCCAATCGGTCAGTTATCCACTTTTCAGCCGATGATACGGAGTTTATCGCCTTCCATATATCAAGATGGGCCGGCGTAACTGTTTGACAGGCCATCTCTGCCAAGAAATTAGACAAGATGAATACATGATCACTTCTCCTTACAGGTGGTAAGAAAGTCAATTGACCAACATCATCACCGTGTGTGAAAAAGAAATTCAGGAGAGACGAGGAGTTTAATAATTCGCATCTGGTGGGATCTCATATGTGCTGTAATAAAGCTAGTGCAATTCAGGTTTCTAACAGTTTGCAATCAAATGACGTTATCGAATACCCTACTTCTAAGTTTACCAAGTTTATACACGGTGCATTAAGGTCGCCTACGATATGGCATTTACTCCTATTACCCCAGGACTTAAGCTTGCTTAGGAAGAAGTCATATACTACACATTTGAAATGCGGTATACTACAACTAATACAGTGTCTCGTCGTTCACATTTCAGCCTGCAACACACCAGTTCACACGTCCCTGAATCATGTTTCACTTTCTCGTATAGTTAAAGTACTTCTTACTTCCTGGATAATATGCAGTTTGTTTTATCACACTATTTAACATCAACTTTTAAATGCTCCTCTTTCCAAATATCAATTTGGTTATCGCTTGGAAAAGAAGCAGAAATGCCTTTATCATCAAAGAATGATTTTATATTTTAGCACATATATCTTATTTCCGATTGTTTTTGTGAGAGGTAAATCATAGAGCCGATAATCATTATCTATAGTTTTAGCTTACACAGATGACTTGATCGACATAACATTTGGTCAACGAGATTCTACCTTTCTAATCAGTGACAATCAAAGCCTTAAATATAATTCTTCAACATTTTTCGCATCAGCAAGCAACCTGGACCGTTATGAGATCGATGCATCGATAGGATTTTTGCACAGTTCTTTAACTGTCTTGGGTGATAAGCTGATCAAAAATTCAAAATTTCATGTGACTGTACATAGTTTTGATATGGAGATAAGCGAAGAGACAAAAACGTTGCACTTTCTATGTCATGCAGTCTACTATGGTAAAGTCAGTGAATTATCATTTGAATCGAGCAGTATGTGTTGCATTATATCCATAAATGCTTCGTACTTTAACGAGTTGACATCTTGTGTTCTGGTCATCGACCGTGTTAGTGAAAACTGGATATGCCATGCATCAATTCAACTTCCACCAGCTCTTTGGAAGCAGAACCAGTCGCCAGAAGTTACTCTTGCATATGCGTCAACGGGTTTTATTTCGAATCCGGATAACGTCAAACAACAACATGATAATCATGATAATTTTAAGCGCTGTCACCTGTCACTAAATCACGTCAAGTTATCGTTTGTTTCTATCCCATCAGTTAACATTGCACATACAGTCCCAGATGCTATTCGTGAATTAGGAAGAAGTTTATTGTTACAGATCCCGAGGAGGGAATTAAAAACAAATGAGGAATTTTTGGTAACTGTTCGTCTGAAACGTTTTGACGATGTTTCGGATTTTACTTTGAGGTATGTAAAGTTGAGAAAGCCTGCTTTTTTACGTTTCTGTTAGGCCTAATAGATGTGTGTACGCTCTAACTTACTACATGCAATTATTTGTAAGAAATCTTGTCTGAACATTTGTCTCGAAACATAGTGAATGCTACTAGATATAGCTGTTCAGTACGTAGGTAAATGTCATGAAGTTTTCAAAATATTTCCTTCGATTCTAAAGCTCATTATGTGTTCCGACCAAATTATAAATGGAACAATCATTTATAAATTTACAACACCCCAGCTATTTTGTTTCTTACAGTTACGTAAGGGTCATGATTAATAAAAAGAAAACGCAACTTGATTATTGGTAATAAAATTGCATTTTATCATAATATTGCAAATGCTTAAGCAACATAAAAGTTTGAACATTTTGAATTTAAAGAGTTGTGACCTCATCTTGTCTTGTCACACTTTCAAATAAAAATGAACCGAAAATGAAGTGCTTATATTGGTCTTAGGAATAACTATGCATACGAGAAGTTTTTGAGCTACATTATAGTAAAGTAGTTTGATTAAAATTGGCATGTAGTTGTTTGAGTCTACTATTTTAGTTGCGTGGATTTCTTATAAAACTAAATATTTGTGTAATGCCACGTATATAAGTTTTAATAATTCCTTCATTGTTACTACATTTTGCAAGCTTGTATTTTTATACTAAAATGGTCCCACAAGCCTCCAACGACTTCGTCACTAGTAATACATTATCATAGTCACAAAAGTTTATATGGCTTAGGCCACTACTACACTATAATTAAATTACCGAGAAATGCAGAAGTGTAGCTCATACATCCATGATCATTGTGATTTTATTCAAGATTTCAAGAAACCGTTATTGATGAAAAAACTTTCCAAACAGCTTCTCTTTTTTTATTTTTTAGGCGTTTACGCTGAGTAAAGTTAAATGAAAACAGCTGAAAGAATATTGATAAATTAGTTTTTCTTTAAAACCTGAGTTACATTTGCCTACCAAAAATGTATTTTAAAACAAGCACACTGATACCGCGACATTTTCACTAGCCTCTGGTATCTAAAGGCTCCGTAAAAGACAAAATATATTGTGAAATACCAGCCTGATATTCAGGGTTTGACAACTCTTTTATCCGTAACATTTTTATATCTGAACGATATCAGACGCAATCAAACCAGAAGCCAGAAATGATAAGTTTAAATATATATCTGAAACAATATCAGGTTAAAAATTATTTGGAAAAATTAAGAACGAGAATTCAGTTCTAAGTAGTTTGCAAATAATACTTCAATAAAAAGCTCTAGATCTAACAGTGCTGAATTTTAAGCAGAGATGGATGGTTGCTAGGAGTAGAATCCAGGATGCTCTTCTCCTTCTATTTGGGACTTGTCAGAAGGATGTGTCTGCATCCCAAAGTTGATATTTACTGCAGAACTGATCAGTTGAAGTTCTATCATCAATGGGTATATTCAAACAACTATTACAAAAATGAATGTTGGCTTTAGTTTGTTCAATGAAATACAATCCAATAGTTATATTTCATAGATAGTATAATGCAGGAACTCTATTTGCTCTATGCACTGAATTATAGTAACATTAAATATGATATGACGTTAGACGGAAGTATTCAGTTTAATTTTATCCATAAATTTTTTAAATAGCAGGCAGAGGATTTACATAACACATGCATAGTGTATTTTGTTGTTTTAACTTTTCAATGACATACAAACTGATAAATTTGATTAATTTAAGATGTCAACAGGATTTGATATTTAAAGAAATGTCTAGCAGTAAACAACACGTTGCTTGCAATATAAATTATAATGAGGACAAACCCTTTAACAATTTTTTAAATTGTTTCCTACAGTGGTTGGATTAGAATACTTTATAGAATTTTTGTTATATTACTTACTTACGCTTGTTACTCCCATTGGAGCATAGGCCAACGACCAGCATTCTCCAACTCACTCCGTTGTGGGCCTTCTAGTCTAGTTCTATCCAATTTTTGTTCGTTTTTATCATGTCTGTCTTCATTTCTCGGCGTAATGTGTTCATTAGTCTTCCACTTTTCCTTTGGCCTTGAGTTTAAGTGAGGGCTTGCCTTGTGACACACTTGGGTGCTTTCCTCAATATATGTCCTACCCTCTTCCAGTACTTCTTTCTGATTTCTTGCTCCACTGAGATCTGGTTTGTTCTTGCCCACAGTAGGTTGTTATTGATATTGTCTGGCCAATGGATCCAAAGTAGTTTGCCTAGGCAACTGTTAATAAACACTTGCATCTTCTGGATGATGACTTTCGTGGTTCTCCAATTTTCCGCCCCATACAATTTTCTATTGTAGTCACAACATAAATTCCTTCTTTATATAATGTAAATATATTAGTGTTATTATTTTGTTTAGACTAGACATAAATTTAGATAATCTTTATATAACCAATACTGTGTTATCATATTCAACTATAAAATATTTGTCATCAACATTTGAATGTTAAAAACAATATCTTCTACTTGTTCATTTAATTTCACCGAATGATGTATCCTATTCAACCGATATACACAAAAAAATTAGATGTTTACTTGTTTTATTTTCTAGAAGACCAACATCATTGAAGAGATAGTCTCTTGTATAAATAATATATGCATAATACATTTTTATTTTCTTTAATTAAACAACAATTCAAATAATTAATGTGAATAAGTTATTCTAATACTTGATAGGATAATATTCAATGTTATCACCATAGATTCCCTAGAGAGGAAAAAAATGATAACCAAAGGATTCTAACTCAGTAATCTATAATGATTGTACTTACTGTATAACTTATATTAGTTAATTTCAATTAGATTAAGGACAAGAGGAGAAAGCCTATGAGAAGTAATCATATGTATCATGGTTACAATAGTTCTGTCTAGCAGATATTAATATGTATCTAAAACTATCAAACATAAAGAACATTTAATATTTTCTAACTATTCGCTTATGTTACATTTTAGCTAATTTATTACCTTATCTATCGTTTTCATTGATTATATCTAAGTGAAAATAATAGAAAACTGTTAATTAGTAATAAGTTACTATAATTATCTATGAATCAGAATTATATTCATAAAGAGGTCATTTTCAAACTTAAATTTCGACAGTGGCCAGTGAAGTTCAACCGGGTTTGTTGTAAGATTGTAACTGACTGATGACGATGGTGAATGTATCACTCAATTTTGTGGGTTAGTCAAAGTTAGACATTAACACTGACCAGCTCAGTGGTCTAGTGGTTAAGCGCTCGCGCGCGAGACTGACTGATCTTAGGTTCGAGTCTCGCGAGGCGAGGTCATGCAGGAGTCTTTCAATAGAACGAAACGGTCATCCAGTGCTTACAGGTTTTTCATGTTGGCCTAGCTTCAATTGACTCATGATCTCAACTATTAAAATTAAATTTCAGTCATTGAATTATTTTACAACCTGGAATTATTCATTTCACATCTTGATAAAAATTAGAATGAATCATTATGAATTGATGAAAATGGATACCTTTTGACAAGTTAATTTACATTAGTTATATGTAGTAATGTTGTTGCTCTTTCCATTTTTTTTCTTTCATTTACGCTATTCTACATCTCATTTCAGTAATCTATAAAGCTATTTGGTTTAATTACCTTATGGAATACACTTGCATGGTTTAATAAAATGTATGCTATTAAGTTTTCTATAAACAGTCAGTGTATATTTTGATCGTTTGACATGGATTACAGTTATTTTTATACACCGTATTAAAAACCTGTTCGTCTGAAAAAAACTATTTTGACAGTTGAATCATAATATTTCTTATTAAATGACTGTAGATCATATAACGCTAATAGTAATAACTAAAGATATCCTTCCTTGTTATTCCGTTGGTTAATTCATATTGACAATGGTGTTTATAAGAAAGAAATAGGATGTGAATCAATGACGTACAAAGAAAATAAAAGATCTCGCCAATGCAAATATGAACAAACGTAAATAATTACTGTAGACTATAGTTAAAAGCAACCTAGAACATATTTACCAGTCCAAAATGGTACATCACATTACCATATCAAGATGAATATCCAAATAATGGAAACAGAAGTAATTATGATATAAAAAAGATGATTGACAAGGAAAAAATTAATTTGTGCGATGAAAAGTATGAGATAATTCTAAAACTCATTATCTAAAGGAAAGCAAATACTGAGTGTAACAGCGCAATCGTGACGGATTCTGAGACATTCCACTCGTTGTCTTTAATCACCGATCACAGAAATTGCGAAGACCATAAGCTTTTAGTCTGTACCTGCCAAATGACTTTATGAACCGGATCAAAATCTTGGTTTGCTTAATTACGACTGTTACTCCTCATGATAGGGAGTGAAGTAGTTGAGTGTGTCAACCGCTTCACTTATCTTGGAAGTCTCATCAGCCCTTGTAGTCTGGTGTGTGACGAAATCTCAGCACGGATACAGAAGGCTCGACTAGCTTTTGTCAACTTACGTCATTTATGGCGCAGGCGAGATATCCGTCTATCAACCAAAGGACGGGTTTATTGCGCAGCAGTTCGTCCTGTCCTACTTTATGGCAGTGAAACATGGCCGGTAAGAGTAGAGGATATCCGTAGGTTACTAGTATTTGATCATAGGTGTCTTCGAAACATTGCTCGTATATCATGGGACCATCGATTAAGTAACACAGTTGTTAGGAAACGGGTACTAGGTAAGGATGGCAAATCAATTGATGAAGTAGTGAAACTTCATCAGTTGAGATGGCTGGGACACGTGTTACGTATGCCCAACGACCGACTACCTCGACGTGCTATGTTCAGTGGTATAGGAGTAGGTTGGAAGAAAGCTAGAGGCGGCCAAACCGAAACATGGCACAAGTCCATGAAGTCACTGACAAGTGGACTGAGTCATGTTGATAGGTATAGACTACCTGGTTGGGGACCACGAGATGATAGCAACCGATGGTTAGAGACCCTGAATGACATGGCTC